CTAGGAAACAAGGATTTTTAAACAAAATCTCTCCCATGATTTCCACCATTAACTCTATTTTTCAAATGACTTGTTTGTTTTATGTTGATGTTTTGGCTGCATATATGTCTGTTTGAGGGTGATGGATCCTCTGGAACGGGAGTTACTGACAGTTGTGAGCTATCATGAATTGAAGCCAAGTCCTCTGGAAGAGTAGTCAGTTTACTTCAATGCTGAGCTGTGATTCCAACCCCTACACCATTAACTCTTCCCTAAAATATTAAATCAACTTCTTCCTGACCTTTCTGATTCCTCCTGTGTGGCACTCTGTCCACCACCATAGACACCAGGGTGGTTTTCCAAGTATAAATCAGACCTGTCACTCATCAATCTACAGCCAACTTCCATTTCAATTCAAATAAAGTCCAAACATGCCTCCTCTTCCCTGCTATGCACAAGCCCTCTCATGCCCATTTGAATCACAATCTCTCTGACAGCATGAAGCATCTTCCCTTCAGTATTCATGTCCATTGTACTTCTCTGAGTTTCCAGTCAGACTTAGGACATTTTCTTCATCCAACTTTCAATCTAAATGTTACCACTTCAAAAAGGTCCCCGAGGCCACCTACTCCCTTGCCCTACTCTCGCTTTCCTGGATTTGTCTTCTTCCTGGTACTGAAGGTATCACTTCTCATATTCAAACATTCAATACATGTTTACCTCTTTATTTCCTGTCTCACTGCCTACAGCACCAGCAAGAATCGGTCAACAAGTTAATTTTTGTGCCTCCTACATGTAAGAGGATGTGTTGTATATTCAAATCTTTGTGAACATTTGAATGCCAAATGGTCTTCAAACACCCAGAAATAATGGTTTTAGTAGAAATAAAAGAAAGTTATGCCCTGAAGTCCAAGTACCAAATACAAAGGGGAAGAAAGGGGGTAGGGAAGCAAGGAAAGTAGAAAGGAATGAAGAAAGGGAGTGGGGAGGGAAGTGGGGGGGGGATGTAAATACCCAGGGTAGAGCTCGTACCTAGCAAAGACAGTAACAGAGGATTGAATTTAGAAATGTCAATATTCGGAGACAAACCACATGTAGAGTGTTTTGAAGTAGAACTACCGTCCAACAGGTATGTAAAGATCACAGAGCAGATATGCCGGACAAAGAGCAGGGTGCTTTCTTTCCCTTTCCTGGAGTCCTTTCCATCATTTAACCTGAACATGGAGTGCCAGCAGATATGCCGGACAAAGAGCAGGGTGCTTTCCCTTTCCTGGAGTCCTTTCCATCATTTAACCTGAACATGGAGTGCACACTCAGCCAGGTACTATTCTCGCCTACCTGACAGTGCAGCAGGAGGAGCTCATGCCTGCTTATGTGCAACCTCCCCTCTACTTTTGATCACCTTCACTTAGAGGGACAACTAAAGAACTAACATTGGGGATCTGATCAGATTTACCCACAGCTGTGTGCTCAACAACAGACACAAAAGAAGTACCTCAATAAACCGTCTGAGACAAATGTACAATTATACAGTCACCCAGTGTGTGAATAGTTTATAAATTTAACATGAGTATCTTGAATAAGGAAAATATACTTCCTACCCTCTCTCACCACCTCAGCAACTGAATGCAAGATTCTGCTAAATTTCCAGAACTTTGATATTTCTCCACCCCTTCCTCATATTATGTCAGTCACATTTTTAAAAATTCCCTACATCACAAATATGCGGAAATCTTTTTAAAATTTTTCATAGTGTGTTCTCTAAAACTGTCCCTACCTTTTTCTGCCAACACTTGCCCAAGTGACCCAGTTGCTACTTTGAATCAATGCTGAGTGCCGCATGTAAGTTACATAAACACCCTAATATGTTAGAGAAGTCAGAATAAATGGAATGCCATTTATAAGGCAGCCCATCAGAAATATAGTCTGTATGCTCCCGAATTGTCAAACCTTGGTTCTTCTTCTCCAAAATGAACCTACATAAGAGTGTCAGATCAGAACTGAAACCTTCAACTCACTGTCTGGTTTCGTGGCAGCCAGCACCAAGGTGCACTCAAAAGAAAGCCTTTCGCAGACATCACCTACAGTAAAACTCTCCAGAAAGCTGGCAAGAAAGAAAAAAGATTAACCTAGTTGCATAAAGAGCAGTTCTGGGTTGTGGCTGGCTGGCGCAGGTTCGCCTCACAGGAGCAGGACGCTGCCTGCAAGGCTCCCCCAGGAGTGCTCTCCTCTTGTCCCCATGCTGAGAGTCCACCGCACTGTTTCTCAAGCTATATTTGGCTGAGTGGTTATTTCACTTTCTCTTTTCCTCTACTCATCTTATTCTGTATCCCCATGCGAGGAGAAAGCAACCCAGAAAGAGCTAGCCAGTTGTTCAGGGCTCATTACTTAATTTCCTCTTTCTAAATAATTCATAAAGACTCTCTTAGCAGCTTGCTTTTCCTGGGAGGTAGCCTCACATCGTCTTGCTCCGCAAAGGAGTCTGCTTCTTTTTGCGAAGTAGGCAGTTCTGAGTTCTGATCCTTCTCTTTCCTAAATCAGGGAAAGATGGCAGGCTTCAGAGTTTGTTACCAGACTCCAGCTGGTTCAGGACTGACCATCAGCTCACACTTACATCTGCCTCACTTTGTTGCTTAGGCAGAATCTGGACCATACTCTGTCCCATGAGCTCATAATATCTCCCAAGAAAACCGTCTCTCTGCCTAGTTAGTCACCACCCCCTATCATTTAACAGCAATAGTAAAATCACACACATTTGTTTGAATTATATATTGTATTTATTTTTTCCATTCATTATATTTTAAATCTGCTTAAAATATCTAGTTATATGTTGAATCATGCCAATAACCTAGTATATTAATTAGGTTTCTTTAGAGAAATAAAAAATAAAATTATACTCATATGACTTAAACTCACTTTTCTTCTTCCTCCCCACACCCAAGCTCTATCTCTGTCTTTCTCTGTCTCTACATCTACTCCATACCTATCTACCTGACTGCCATCTACTCTCTATTATCTGCTGTCTGATATTTCCTTCCATACCCATGAGTTCCACATCTTGAGATTCACAGATTAAAATATTCTTAAGTGTTATCTATACTGCAAATGTACATAACTTTCCTTCTCCTTTAATCCTAAGCATTGCAACAGTTTGCAGCATTAACATTGTATAAAGTATTATGAGTAAGCTTGAGGGGACTTAAAATGTTATGAGTGATATGCCTAGACCACACCCATACTATAACATTGTATAAAAGACTTTGTGGCCTTCATTGAGTCCTGGGGACTAATGTAAGTACTATGCCAGGTGGCAGTTATGTTAATGAATTTTCTTAGGTGTCCATTGTGGTTCTTACAATACAAAGTTTGCTGGGTAAACCAGCAGACTGGAGAGAAGAGCAGAGCTGCTGCTCCAAGCCAGGGGCAGTATCCTAGCAAAATGCCTTTTCCTGGGGGAAGGAAGAATAAGAGTGGTCAGTTTTTGGCTATTGAGGTTTCCCACTGTTTGACCAAGGCTCACACATATTCTGGAAGACTATTGACTGTACTGACTGTCCATCATTTTACAAGCTGACCTCAGATAAAACCCAGAAATGTTCACAATTACCTTTTCCAAACATTTGGACTTAATGACCACCAAAATTGGTGCTTAAAATTAATCTCAAACATACTGAAGTCATTTGCTTATACTAACTCAACAAGCTCCATAATAGCCCTTTCCTTTGGCTCTAGTCAATCTCATATGTATGATGGTCTCCTGAAGGTGCACTTGGAAGCTCTACCCTGTCCATCCCTTTTCCCCAACTCCTCCTCAGTTTCCACTCATAGGTAAATTTCCATAGAAACTTTTTGAGATCTGCCAGATTAGTGTTTCTAATCATGTGTTCCTTTTGTATGGAATAAAGGAAATACTTTTCTGGTTCTTAGAAAAAGAGTAAATTTCATATTTATCTTATGTGATTTTATGACTATCTTTCTGTAATTTGACAGTAAAATTCAGAAAATGGGTCTAATTTTACTCAGTGTGTACTGTGTGATTCTATCAGCATGTCTGATACATAGAAATTAAATGATACCTTTTTGTTATTTTACTAGGTAAATTAATTTATGAGAAGGCAGTTAATATTGCTTCCTTTATTGAATGTTTCCAGAAAAGCATGCAACAGCTAAAATAACCAGACTGAAATGTGAAGATAGTCAAAATGTAATATACTATGAATAATTAGACTCTTCCCAGACAACCTGCTCATACATTTCCAGGCATAGTCTCAGGATGGTGGGAACTTCAAACATCAACCAGAGCTAATTCTTTCATACCATAAACTAAATAATACCGTTTTGTAACTCCAGTACTGGAAAGAGAAGAGACAAAAGATGAGGAAAGGGAGAGATAAGGGGTAGAGGAGAGAATGGAAGTAAGGAGTGAGAAGAATGGTGAGACAGATTTCTTATATTTGAAGTAGGTAACCCTAGATAGCAATGGATCTGCATAATTAACTACAAGGAAATACATTAAGAAATATATTGAAATAAGCAAGTTTTTCACTTTTTAAGATTGAAAAATATTCTTGTTTTTTCTCTCTCTAAATATAGTAAACTTTACAGTTGAGAACATATGGATTTGTCTGCTTGAAAACTACATAAAAGGTACCATGTAAGTAAAACATTTCAATATTACACTATAGTATTTTTTTATAATCTGTCCCATCTTGTTCTCTTAGATTTTTACTATAGGCAGCTCCTTTTCAGCTATGGCTACTCTAACTTTGTAAATAATGTGTGTCTTTATTTTTCTCTTGCTAAAATTGTAAAGTAAAAATACACAAGCAACAAGATTATTCTGAGAAATGAGTAAAACACTATGCTTAAGTCCTATTACTGAAAATACTTACTGAGTAACTATGCTATTATTATACATTAGTTATTTTAAATGACCAATTTGGTATGTAATTGTCTAATCAAATAACTGTGAACAAGCCTATATAAAATAACAGTAAGGTTTTTTATGCTTAGATTATCATGCTAATTATCATCTCATAATTCCTGTATTTTAAACTATTTGTCATCTTAAAGTCTGCTCTGGCTCTACTCAAATGAGTATTTATTTAAAATAAATTAATGTAGAGTTGATTAATAATAGAGAAGTTAAAGTCAGTGCAATGCTCAAGTTGACTCAATCTATATGTGACATTCCCTAGCACATTATTATCTTGCTTCAGTTAATTATCACAGTTAAAGACAACATGCACCAATGCACCAGAAAAGGGAAGCTAGTCTGAAGGCATAGAGTACAACATGGCTATCCTTCAGATGCTCTGTTTAGCCAAGGCCACAGTGAAGGTTCAGTGGGTTTTCATCATGGCAAAGACATCTCTAAGAAGAATATATATATATATATATATATATATATATTCTTGAACTTTAACTTATCCGGGTTCATGTAGGTTCACAAATTTATTTTAACTTTTACTCTATTTAATCAGCTTCTCCAATAAACTCTGCTAACAGTTTTACAATCTTTGTGATAATAGCCATGCAGTTATTTCTAGTGGTGTATTGTCTAGAAAGCAGACAAGCTGGAATGTGGACTTTAATAAAACCACCCAACAACGTTTTGGGTGTCTAGCCCATACATAGCCCCATGCCTTCATCCATAAGATAATAAAGCTAATAACATTTCTGCTTCTCATACATTGTGAGGATCAAATAACATTTTTTGTGTTACACAGTATAAAACAAAAACACTGCATTTACGTGATCGTTGAGACTAAATCAATGTGAATATACATTGTGTATTGCTACTTTGCTGTTAGTTGACTTCTAGTTTCCAATCATTTGACATTATTTTACAGAACCTGAAATATGATTGCATTTACCCCCACACACACCAAAAAGAAACACTCCATCTCTAGGTGAATGAATTCAGAAGATGAATTTTTATTCTATTTAGCTGTATGTTAAAAAAGTTTGCCCTCCATTATCTGCATATCATCTGCATATTTCTAATGAAAGCATCGCCGGGTACGGATTGTCATCCTAGATAATTATATTAGCTCATTGCTTCACAATTGTGTTTAGCTTTAACATCACAACCTTCCTAGCCATACTTTCTTAATTGTGATTATGTTCAACCCTTTATTACTGATATTAAAAGCACCAAAAAGCAGATAGCATTATCTTCAAGGAGATCCCAAAGCATCTCCCAAACCTGATGCTTAGTTCTAAACTGCTCAGCATGTTTGGCAAAATACTCACAACACAGCTATCTGTTTTTGGAATAAGTGCCCCTCTCCATTCTAGTTAATTGAAAACAACTCTCAATTGCCCTCCTGAGCATAAAGAAGCAGGGATTAAGACATAGTAGCAGGAAAGTATCAGGGTTTTAAAGACTTATATAAACAACACAGTTGTTTGAGCAGTGACAAATAAATTCAAGCTCCCCAGGACACACTTGTTTAGGACTTTCCCAATTAGGCATTTTATTTGATCTTCGGGTCTGGGTGAGCCACAATTCTCTTGAATTGAAGAGGAGATTAATGGACCAGAGACAATGGCTAATTCATCTCCAGGGCTTTGTTCATTGCTCGTCTTTGCTAATTTAATACTGTTATTTCTAAACTTAAATAAATCAAAATGAGAATTGGGCTAGAGTAGTGAATTTCAAAGAATTGCACCATCACTGAGGAATTCGTCAACACTTTCACCTTTATGTTAAGAATCTTGACTGGAAAATAAAAGCTTCCCCTGTAGAGAGTTATGAACAGCAGAGGGGAGATACTTTGCATATTATCTCAATTAGGTCTCCTTGTTGGTAACATGGAAAATGGAGAATAACATAACAGAGCATGTGTACAAAGCCATTGATGATGGCAATTTCAATAAGGTTTTGGTATAGGGACTGGATTGCTCACAAGGCCTCGGGGGGATAGTGAGTACAGTATGCAGCACAGATTTTTCTTATGCGTTTGTTTTTCTTAACTGTACTTCTATTATCTAAAATGAAACACACAGCAAGCTGGAATGCTACTGTGCTTTCTGCCCTCCTCCTCATCCTCTTGATCTTCTCATTCTTCTTCTAGAGCTATCTCAAGTCTGTAGACTAACAGACTTGATTTATACCTTTATATGCCCTCAGCTTTGAATTCAGGGTGTCCCTTGATAGGAATATTTTCAGTAGATAATAAATAGTTTGTTAGATTGAAAAAATTAAAATAATATTTACACAAAGCCAAAGATTTTTTGATAATACTCTGAGCACTGACAATTCAATTAAGCAATGCAAAGAAAGGGCCTATGTGAAAGCTTAAACTCGTAGTTTTTCAACTTTTTCAATCAGAGAGTAAATTATGGACTAACATATTGCAAGCTGAGCAGCTGAACTCAGGGTATCACACTTTTACATATATTTGCATTATATGCATATATATCCACACATATATATTTAATCTCACAAATCTTGAAATTTCCTTATCTGCATAGTGGTGTTCAGAGCTATATGGAAATATCCGGCATTGTCCTTTAATTCAACCTTAAAATCACTTATCTTTTGTTAAATAAAAGACGTGAATTAGAAACAAAATTAAAGGTAATGTTAAGTTAATTCCTTAGGTGTTTCATTCATAGCCTCATTGCTATGCAAAAACTGAAAATAATAAAAGTAGTCTATCTAGGGCTGAAGAAAGCATAACGATGAAAACGAAAGTTTGCTAGACTTGTAAGGCATTTAACAAATATCTTGTCAGAAGCCACTTTTAAATTTTTTGAAATTCCTAACATATGGAGAAGGGAGAAGCTCAGTAAGTCTGCAGCAAGCCAGCTCTTTTATTACTTCTAGCAGATTCTCATACAATCTTAGCTGTGTGAGCTGTCCTTTTGTGTTTTGTTTTTCATTTTGCTTTTACTTCACAGAAGGAGAGAACAGGAAGACTGAAGTTCTCTTTGCCTTGTTCTGCCTTGACTGCTAAACTATAACAGGCATCCAGGCTCTATAGGACAATTTCAGATGTGATATTTGAAGATGAGTCTCTCTGTCTTGTTTACCTTTTATAATATCTATTGTCTCTTAAGCTCTTGTTTTTAAATATCCATTCTCAGGCAACATCCACTGGTCACCAAAATGACTGGGGCTTCTGAGGTAAGATGGGGGCTCACTGCATCTCTTTGTAAAAGAAGATTATTTTGTTTCAGAATGAAGTGATAGAAATTTCACATCTATCATTCATGCTTCTAAGTAAGGTTTACATACACTCACTTTTATATATTTACTTTCATATGCATAAATATTTATTGCACTCCTGGGAAAAGAAGAATCATTGATACAAATTGTGTGGAAAGTGAAAATTAGATATGAAATTCTATGAAAGATTAAATAAGCACAATATAAACTTTCTATAAGTAACTGAAATAGTAATATACATCTGTTTTGAAACATACAAAAAAAAGCTTACTGGATTTTAGAACAAAAACCCCTGCATATTTCAATACTAATTAAATGTCAAATAATATTCCCAGAAGTTTACCTACCTTAATTATTAGCTTAAAAATTATCATTAAACATTATTATTATCTTTCATTAGTAGAAAACCAAGATCAAGAAGTAATAGAGCTTAGTTTTAATTGAAGTATGGTGAAGCTACACAAGTCATTTCCTGCTATATCTTCTGCGTGACAATGGTAAAACGTTACAGTAGTTATAAATAAATAAACCAGGCAAAGCTTCGTGTATGCAATCTGCAGTCATGTGAGTATGAAATTTCCAGATAAAGTGCAAAATCACAAGAACTATTTCTTGTCATGGAGCACCTGGGAAAAAGAATGCAGTTGCTATGGTTATCATGAGTCCATCACTGACTGACTCTTGCTAATACAGCTTTGGATGTGCGCAAGACTCTGTAGAAAGTGTCCTAATTAGAAGGAAAATTAAAGAAGTTTGTTGCAGTTTGACAGACTTTCAAGCAACCTGTACCCCCAAATGGGTATAATGGAGAAGAATCAATATCCACATGGTTGGTTTTAATATGAAAAAAAAAAACCAAAAACAGGCTAAATCTGTTTCAACAGTAAGAGAATATGGACGGGGGGGGGGGCATTTGAAACCCCGGCTCCCAAAAGTTAGCTTTCTCTGAGCAAAAATTTCATTCATTAGCAAATGAATAGGGCTCATCGATGAAAAGAATCAAACAAAGCACTGTGACTAAGACACACCCCACAGAAGGCTACAAGTTAAAGCTCAAATTGACCATCTTATTACTTGCATTCAAGATGCAAATTCCAACTCTTTATCCTGTTACTAGCACTGATAGAAATCTATATGTTTCAGTATGTTCTACTTTTCAAAGAAAAACTGAAGACAGTTTGGCTCAGAAACATTGTGTGTTTTCTCTCAGGACACATGGTCAGGAAACGGTAAAAGAACTAACATGCATTTATATTTAAAGGAGCATGTGCCTAGAATAAGGATTCTCAGAAACATATTATACTTCATGGAGTCATTAGAGGTTGTTAATCTGTTTTCCATTTTGTAATTTCAGCTATTTCTGACATTTAGATACTTATCAGAAATCATGGTGATGTGATAGAATTTTGGATTATGCACTTTTATTCATTCAAAAAATCTATGGTTTGTGAAAATAAACATGAATAACACCACATTCAAATTGGAAAAAGAAGAGCTGGATTGTCAACAAAGAGAACATAGCGCTCCTATATCCAGCAGCTGTGAATGTGAGGGGGGAAGTCTTATCCAGTTCTAGAACTAAGACAGGACCAAGAAGAGGGGCAGCTATCTGAACATACTCAACTGCAAATTGAGCTGGGGTTTCTTTTCAAAGCCAAGAGACAATGCTAGAAAGATTGTCTCAGGTAACCTCATGCACCACCCATCCCACCCCCTGACCTTTGCACACAAGCAAACCCATCTGGATCACTGAGCAGAAGAAAACATGTAAGGATTGTATAGGGCAAAGTAAGGATAGGTATACAGCAGAAGCAATACAAGCCATACCTCAAAGTAGCTTGCTAAATGATAGAAAGACAAATAGGCACTTCACTGTAATACCACTGACTAGTATGCTTTATGCAATGTGGTGTCCTCAGTCCCACATTGCTGCCTCTATCAATCTGTTTAATGTATATGCATCAAACAAGATAAAAAGAGGTGTGGGAAGCATCCAATGAAAGAAATGGAGATGAACCTTAAAGGAAAAGAAAATTAAAACATAGGAAAATGTAATATTTGACTTCTAGTAGAGGCCTGTGAGGTAGTCTGACCTCAAGACCCACAATATCAAAGGAGGGGACTGAGTCCCCAGCCAGCTGCTTACTGACCTCCACCCTGTCCACACACATGCACACAATTAATATAAAATAGTCAAATCTTTAAAATGACACAAAATTGATATTTGGCTACTGAGACCTCAACCTAGGACTGGACAATCATACTTATCTGGTGAGATGACCATGCTTTGCAGAAGGCATCACTATGCAGAATGCTTGGAGTATGTCTTAGGAAAAGGTATTCATTCCATTCAGGCTTTGTTTGCTTCTTTTCTTCTCTCATAGTCTTAGACATTTACTTTCTACTATGCTGTCTACACATAAATGTCCATCAAGATATCACACTCCTTGACATCTTAAAATTGCCTTCTACTGAGTACAGAACCTGAAACCTACACAAAGGAAATTTACAAAATGGCAAATTCCACAAAGGGTAAATAAGCAGCTGCCCGAGCCAGTGCAACAAATAACCACCCTCAATCTAGGGGGTGGGTGTAACTCCCTTGATACAGAATGCTGGAGCTGGAACTTTGCTAGGTTAAGTCAAGAAAGAAAAAAGTGAAATCTATGTTTTCATAGCAAAGATTTCAAAATCTGAAATTTCTGTGAAATAACGAAGAATATGGTAATAGAAAGACATTTAGAATAATTATAGGTAAATTAATAAGCATACATAAACACAAATATATTTATATATAATATGGCATAAATATACTTACCTTTATATTTAAGTTTTACATGTATTTCTATTACCATATTTAAAAATTCTTAATTTATAGGACAAAAGAGTCCCCTATAAAACTATAAGGTACAGAGAGAAACTTTGAGAATATTTGTAACATATTCTAGTGCATGCTACCCTACAATACTAAAGCAAGTAGATTTTCATTTCAGACAGAAATTGAAGCAATTAGTAAAAGTGTGAAATCCATAATCATTTGTTGAGCTGCTTTTAAAAGTGTTTATCATCACATTTAGTAAATTTCACTGTTGTAATTGACCATATTTTTCTCTCACACATGGCAGGAAGAAGCACACATGTGCCTTATTGATGCCACTAGAAGGCACCAAACCCCAGGAACACGAATGAACTCTTCTACACACAGGGAAAACCACTTTTCTCATAACTATGTATTACCACCTAAATGTATATACAGTTTTGTGTTATGCTCATTGATCAGCCCAGGCACAGTCATGGAACAAACATAGGCAAGTGACACAGATATAACTGCCATTTAATGAACATCCAAGAGCATGCATGGTTCTTTCCTCTTGTGGATTCTTGGAGAGATCTAGAAGTGCGTCATTGTATATTTAGGTACAAAACTACTTCATTCATCCATGATCTTATGATCATTCCATTCTGGTTCCATCTGTATTCCCTTGATTATTAAATACTGCTTTATCTAACTAACATGTTGCTTTTATCCTGAAAATGATATGAAAATATTTCACTGAAATACAGTTTGGATTTATTCCAGTTTCTAAAAGACTCAAAGTACTAGGAAGTTAGTTCTTAACTCATACTGTACAAATCCTTTTGGCATTATGATAGAGCATGGCATTGTCATCTATAAGGTTTACACCCAAGAATATTACAATTAGCTTACAAAGAAAGAAAAGCGTGCACACACACACACACACACACACACACACACACACACACACACACACACACACACACACACACACACACACACACACACTCAGGCACACATAGGATTTCATAACATCCTAAGTACATTTATGATTTTGCGTTGAGCATACTCATAGCTCTATTAGTGTCCATGTGATCTATAAGCTATAGATTGGTCACTTCTGGTAGAACCACTGAAACATCAGAAATTGACACACTAATGTTGTGTGTGACTTAAGGTATGGCCATAAGAACAAGAATCACATGCCTCCTGTCTCCTAAGAAAATCTTAGTTTCTTCTTCATAATGCAGGTTTTTCGTTGTTAGGACTCCATTTCATCCCTCAAACTGTCTGGAATCAGATGATCAGTTGTACGGTTACCTTAGCTGCAAGTACAGCATATGTGCTGCGCACTGTGAACGCATACTCTTGGAATAAGTAAATGCTTCCAACAGACTAGCGTTACATTCTAATCGATTGCCCACTTCTCCACACACTGACAGCACATGCGAATAGTGTGATGCTGAAAAGCAACAGATGAAAAATTTGTATGACCTCTTAAGCCTTACATTAGAAATAAAATTATATCTTTACTTTGGGACAATAACAATCAATGTTTTACCCATTACTGTGATGAATGAAACTTGCACAAAGATTGTATGCTGGTCCTTCATAGATACATGTTCATGTTGCTTTTATAAAAAAAAATGGCTTATTTTCTCACAGGAGTCAAAAATCCTCTCACTACATATTAATACCTAGAAAGGGAAGCCCATCTTCTCTCCTGCTTCTGTGAGGGACACCATGGTGCACTTTCATCATCTGTCTCCTATAGCTGACTAGTGAAACAATTCACTCTGGTGGAGGAAGTCGTCCATCTCACTATTGCTTTTCTAGACTGCAGTTGATTTTTATCTTTAAAATGTTTTAATACTTCATTAAAGTATTTGTGACGATATGTTTCTCATGCAACATTTTCCTTTCAGAACAAATCCATAGTATCGTAATTCTTTGTATGAAACTGCAACCAAGCACAGATTCAAGTAAGTCACTACATTCCTACCTATCTCTTATCCATCATGAAAACTAGCAGGTCTGGTTTCTTTACCAAAAGCTAATAAAGAAGTTTGAGGAAACTAAAACCTTAAAAGAGGATATTCAAAGTGTCTGAATTCATTTGCTTTATTTACAACAGAAGAAGCAGTATTGAATCCAAGGTAGCATTTATGTTATCAGGACATCAGTTCAACACTGAGAGCTAAGAAAAAGGAAAAAAAAAGATGCAACTTATTTAATTAGTAAACTATAAAACTTATGACTGAACTTACCCAGAAAAATGAAAGTATCAAATGTAAATGGAAGAGTGAATTAAGTTTCTGCTAACATGTAATCTAAGAAAAATAAAGCCACAAATAAAATTGTAGCTAAAGTCTCTCCTCATCGGGGGGTAACATTTATTTTTAGATAAACATGCCATGCTCTTTGGATTTGGTTCTAATATCTACTAATGTAGATGGAAAAAGAGAACCAACCAAACGTCCCCCTCCACTACTTCAAGGAATAACCGCTGAGAAGAAGCAATTACAGTAAAATTGCTTACACCTTAAACCCCAGGTGCTCTGGATGGATGGACAATCCCCAGCAGTGTGAGTCTATGCTTCAGAAACTTGGGGGCAGAGGGGGGGCCTTGATTCAAAGTGCCTGAGATGTGCTTTGTAGTGAAGAAAGCAGAAAGTCCTTCAAAGTTGTAAGACAAAAAAACATAGGTGAATGGGTGAGAGCCCTGTTTCAACAACAAAAGCACATAAAATCCAACATGCATTTGTCAGAGCAAAGTGAAGACATAGAGGGACAGGAAGATGTGGGAGGAAAGAATTACATAAATGAAAAGATGAGTCATTGTGTGTGCAGTTTTCCCAGTTGGACTGAGGGTTACATATTCAGAAACTATTTGTTGTATAACTGTTACATGCCAGGCTCTTTGAGGAACTGGAGATGACTAGGCAGAAGGTTAGTCTGTAGAAGGAAAGTGACAGCTAGCTTAGAAAGAAACATTAAGAATACAGATGCTGTGACAGGTGACTAGCTTATGCTGTCAATGGGGAAAAGCAGACTTGCATATTCAATTGGATACTTAGATAACACATAGTTCCCAGTATCAGTGGTTTGTATTGGAAAGAATTTTTTCTCCAGCAAAATCAAACCCATCCTTCGACAAGAGGTTTCAGTTGTTGGAGAGGTTTTTATGCAAATCTATACTACGGAAATCCCAAATCAGCCATGAGCTGGTGTACCTTGCCCTTTAATTGATTTCCAGATAGAGAGCACTGCCCAGGGAGTCAGGCAACACACACTCCTGTTGAGCCATTCTCCTTTATCTCCATTACCCTTGATGTGTTACCAGAAAACCTGTGGAGCTCTTGCTCTTAGGGGGACCATTTTTTCCTTTGGGTGGAGATGGTAGGGATTTTACAGATAACTCAGCTGGGGGCTTTCATAGCCAGGGCCCTTGCTTGTAGTCACAAACTCAGAAACAAAACCTTCTACTGCTGTTATAATCCAGCCTCTTAAACTCCTGTTTATCCTGAGTCTATTCAACAATGCACTCTTTTAAATAAAACACCACCCCTCCCATTTTGTTTGTCAATTGTGTGTTTGATATTCTGGGTAATTTACCCAGAATGTACCCAGAGCAAGCACTATCAGATACCTGCAGTTTCTCTCTGCTACCTCAGGGGGTTCAACACCCTCCACCTCAGATCTCAGGACTTCAAAGGCTTCCCTGGAGCTTCCTTTACAACCTAAGCAGAAAAAAAGGTCCTGCTTGTTTTGCACACCTTTTCTCCACATTAAAATCCGAGCTGAACTAAAAAAAAAAACAACCCCTTTTCTATCAGTTGGTGGTGGGTTAGGGGTTAGCTGCCATGCATTTTAACTTTTTCAAAGTGCAAAACACACGGCAAGCAAAGAAAGTATTTAAGTGGTCTTTTGGCAGATCTTATATCAGATACTTTTTTGTGGATAGGATATAGCTCCACCTTATGGCAGGAAGTTATTTAAAGTGGAGACAGGCCATGGAAGACATAATGGTAGCATGTATTTTTCTTTCCCCCTCCAGAATCTTGCTTTTTTTTTTTTCTTCCATACAGTGGCAACCACAGTTCTACATGCAAAAGAGGTGGGGAGACAGCTCTTCCATATGTCTTTGTTGGGAGCTTATAAAAGTTTTGCTCTCAAGCTAGTTAAAGACTGCTTGGAACACAGGGTTTCTTGAAGCGTTTACAGGGCTACTAAAGAAAAAGGCAGTCATATACTCGACTATTTTGCTTAATAGCACTGGGTTGTGCTGCACCCAGTCTCCCTCTGATTTTTTACTAACCTAATCTCTTTACTCATGTATTTTCTGTGCCTTATTCAGCTTCCTCTGAATTTGCTGCCCATTTTTATATGCCCTTCAAGGTGGATTTTATACTCCCCCAAACCCTACCATATGAAATATCTATCATCAGGTCCTGCCCAAATACAGCTATATTCTAAGTTAGATAACTGCTAATATGGAGTTTTCCAGTTTATGTCACTGAGCATACTGGAGGCTCTAGAAAATTGTTAAAATATCCCCCCTCAAAAAACTGTGGAAACATCTTCATATTTATTCTGAGAGCTCTTGTGAAGTTTTGGGAAATAAAAGGGATTCCCTTCTTTTGCCTCTTTTGCCATCTTTTCTATGTATCAGTAATTTTTCTAGGCATGGGAACATATTTTATCTGAGTTAAACCCACAGCTGTCTTCTAAATTGTTCACAACTAAATCTGCCAATATCGTTCAAGAGGCTTTCCCAGGCTTAGCAGCTAATGAGTGTTCCATCTTGTTACAGCACTCCACATTTTCTTTAATTACATAGATTGCCCCAGTCTTTGTGAAAATCATAGTGTGGTGGGGAACACTTAGCATCTTTCCCATCCCACTGAATAAAGTTAACTGCTTTGCCAGACAAATAAAGTTAGATATAACCTTTTTTTAAATCCCATATATACCTTTCCATAGCTAAAAACATGAGCATTTACAGAGATCCTGCTAGATAGAAGACATTGTGCTGAAAGTTGGAAAATATGTAGGAAAAAAAAACTACCAGTTCTCTCTGTGACGCTGGGAAGTAATTCATTCTGCACATTTGTCGAGATAACATCCATGGGCTTCACCTGTATCTTAGGGCAAAGCAGATATGAAATTTTCTTCTCGGTGAGAAGGGAAATGGGAGCTCTGAGAATGTTCATCAAGATGTGTTATTGAAGCAAGATCACTAATACATCGGTTGTCTTGTCTCACAATATGCAGAATCAAATGTGCTGGCTTCAGTCCAAAGATAAATTTACATGATTATATATATAGTCTAATATTTTCTTTGGCTACTACCCTAAGTTGGCTATAGCAATATAGTACATGATTTCATCTAACAAATTATAAAAAGTCCAAGAGTTCTTCACTTGCTACAAATTTTCAGAGTACTTATCATCTCCTACCCTACTTCAAATCTAGGCTTTTGCCTCTTGACATCTTATTCTTTGTATCTACTCTAAGATATGGAAGTCAGCCTGTTCCCTGCTTATGTGTCAACTTTATGACTAATGAACTTTGGAGATGGAAGACACATTTGGAAATGTGTATGGATAGTGAAAGATGACAATGGTAGACAGACAGATAATAGGCAGAGGATAGATAAAATTATAGATAGGCAGACAAACAGATGACAGACTCGGAATTCACAAAGTTTATTAAATCAGTTACTGGATATTTTGCAATTAAGACTTTTTCTGGCCATTTCAAAAAGTTATCTTCTAATTTCCTCCCAAGGCACACAGACATCCTAATTCTTTCCACAACTTGACTCATCACCCCTGCTACTGCGCAGAGCTAGAACGTCCCATATCATAGTTCTCCGATAACCCATATATCCAGAAATGAACTCAAGCTGGACTATAGGATGGTTTCTAATGGTTAAATGAAAGCCAGCATTCTTTAGGAACTTGTGAAAACAGTTCCCATCTTCCAACAGGAGTTACCTGGCAGAAGAGAAGTATGGTTACCTGTGACTTCTATCAGCCCATCAAAGCCCATGCTGGCCTGAAAGCTCCCTCAGTCACTATTCACAGGCACCTGTTATACATTGCAAAGTTCACTCCAACCTCCCGCTTACCTTCAGCCTTCCTCCCTTCTTGTAGCTCTTCTATCGCCACCATTTTCTTGCTTGGTTTCTTTTGCTATTCTCTATGTCTTGCTATCTCCACTATTCTTTCCTGTTCTTCCACCTCTGTTGCAGATAACCCATTTGTTGTCTATTTCTTTTTCTTTCTGCTCTGGACTCTTCAAGATGTTTCAGGCTGTTTTCTCTCTCTTACTCACAATTAAAAACAACAAACAACAACAGCAACAAAGCTTCCACTAACGGAATGGTCATTTTGGAAGTTTCTTTACTGTGCTCTCCTCGCATACACGCAAAACATGCAACATGCTTATAGTTAGAGCTTAGAGGAAAGGTCATGAGGACTTGAAACTCATTAAAGAATTGACTCATTGAAAAGTTCATAATTTGATGGATAATTTTTTTAATAATAGAAATACGTGATGTTGCATTTCATTTGTGTGAATATATCCTAGGGAATGTGTCGTTGAAGGTTATATTTTGTTTCTGGGTCTTTATTCTCTTTATTCTCTTTATTTCTTGAGTGCCATAAAGTGAAGAACTTTCTATGTCACATGTCGTGCCTCATGTCAACACAAAGGTGATTGTCAATGGACCATGGATTGGAACCTCTTAATCAAGAGCCCATACAAATCTATCCACCTTTAAGTTACTTATTTATCTTGGGATCCTACCACAGAACATGTAACTGGCCACAATATGCCCTCTGCCCAACCTGCTATACATTTGCAGGAAAATGAGCCAACCCAGCACACTGTATTTTCTGAAGTCTTTCTCTTAGCATACATCAATTTAAACTCCTAGCTCTATAAAAAGGCATGGCTTAAATAGAAATTCTTATTTCTTTCTATTACACAGAAAATATTTATAGCTAGTAAGTTGTAGACATTAAACATTGATAATAACATAGATATTGAATGCAGTTATGGAACAATTGTTAAGTAAATAACAACATGAATATAATCAAATAGGCACAATGAACTTTTTATAAACTACCTCATACCTGCAATTTTAATTGTGTTCACTAGAAGAACTATTTACCTGGCTTCAGTAATATTGTAATGCCTTACTATGGCATTCGATCAGGTATTTTGAATTATCCATAGAAATTTTTTCCTCAAAAGTGGATTCATAAACAAAATCAGTTACTTGCTAAAGTCTGTGAGGATTGCTCTTCAAAAATATCAAGAGTACTTTCATCCTCACAAAATGGTCACCCACTCAATAATCTGCCTAGACATTGTGCATAATTTGCTATGAGAAGGACTAAAATTTGTAGAGGCTATATTTTATATTCTAAGTATGAAAAGAAAAAAAACTGTAACCAGTAAATACTGTATGAGAAAACAATATACTTCCAATAAAAAGAGCAATAAAAGAATGGTCTTCATGTAGATTAAAAAGAGAATATGCTGCTGTAATTTTCAACCCTTAACAGGCCCTATGTTGAAAGCTTGTTCATCAGCCTATGGTATAGTTAGTTGGTAGATCTCTTGGAAAGTAGAAGGAAGTTATGCCCTTAGGACATGCCACCAGTGGGAAAACTGGAAACCCCACATCACCTTCCCTTCTCTTTTATATTCAATATCTATTTCTCTTTCTGTCCCCAGGCCAACAGGAACTAATTAGTTTTGTATTGCCACATACTCCTTCCTATGATGTTTTGCCTCAAGGACTAAAAGCAACAGATACAAGCAAGCATGGACTGATTTCTGATACTATGAGCCAAAATCAGCCTTTGTTCCTTGTAAGTTGTTTATGGTATTTTACATAGCAATGGAAATATGAGTACTGTTAAAATGATTATCTAATGCAAACTTAGTGTGTATTTGAAATTTCTTTTCAAGAGATGATCCTATTCTGTCATGAGTTGATAAATTCCTCTAGTCCAATCACACTTGAAAGTGGTAAATATGCAATCATCAATGCCTGAGAAAGGGTAACATTTTTCTCTTAAAAGCACAGTGGCTTTCCATAATGGCTGTCCAAGTTTGCATCCCTAACAGCAGAGGAAGTGTGTTCCCCTTACTCAACATCCTCTCCAGGATAACCTATCATTGGTGTTTTCTTAGCCATTCTGGGAAGTTTAAGATGGAATCACAGAGTCCTTTGAATTTGAATTTTTCTGATGACTAAGGAAGTTGACCATTTCCTTTTTTATAGTTAATTTAAGTCTTTGTTTATTTGGGGCAAGGTGGCTGCGGGACCGGCCAGGACAAAGAACCTCTCGTTACAAGCATTACAATCAGTTCTGCAATCAAAGTGTCATGATGTTTGCTCATTCTTTTTTTTT